GTTGCACTCCCAACTGCAAAGAAATGGTTAAGTGACAGTTGCCAAAATAGGGAAATAAATGCTATGAGTAGCTTGACAATGTACCAAACACATCCACAACTAAAGGCCAATTAATTAGCACAGGCTGTGATGTGTGGAAGTAGCCTGTTGACATGAGTCCAGATCTGTGGCTGAAGTCAATCCACACACCCACTTAGACTTGTGAAGTATGTAAATAGTCTAACTGTCTAAAAGCAGAAAAATGTTGGTATGAATGCTGGTAATATTATGCAGTGAGATCAGTACACGTATGGCAGGTACTTTTGTGCTCAGAATTACTTACAAGCACGCATATTTACTTGCCGCAGGTGAGTGACTCTTGTCTTTGCAGTATTTTATGTGCTGTAAGTACACATGTGAAGAGAGCATGTGTTTTCATTATTGACCTGGGATGTCAAATCACAGTGCACTGCGCCAACATTTCCCCAAGGCTACTTATGGAGTAGCTCAGAGCTGCAGTTTGTGCACAATCAATTATATTAAATTGACCTGAAAATCAACACTCGACAGCATTACATGGGAAGACTGACAATGGCCGTGTCCAGACGGCTCAACGCACGTCAGCTAACAATGTAGACGAAAATCAGAACACTGTGAAAATAAACACTTCATTTTGAACAATTTATTTCTCAAGAATTCGTTAAGTGGTGCCATTAAAATTCAAATAAGAAAAAGAGAAAAATCTGTTGTGGGGCTCACATCACTCCTGGGAACATAACAGCACAGTAATCAGTTACAAGAGCAGAGTCTACTCGAGTATACATGAGTACATTATAAAAAAATGGTTGTTGGGTTACTAGATATAAAAGGTGAATATGTCGCAGCCGTCACTCTGATCTACAAAGCATCTGCCTGAGCAGATACATTTACTTACTGAGCCTGAGGAAAATATCCATCCACTGACGGTAACATTTTGAATAATTAAGCCTCCTCACTATGCAAGTAAACACATCCCAAGATAGACAGTATAAGACAGTATAATAAGGTAAACAACAATAGTCACAAACTATAGATTCTCCTATAATCCGTCATCCTATCTTGGTATAGGTTTACTTTTACAGGATTATCCTTTCATGTTCTTGTCTTTATGAAGATTAATCGATCCAACTATCAATCACCACATCTGTGCGTGTTTGTGTGCATATGTGTGTGTGAGACGCTTCCTTAAGATTTCCAGCCCCGTACAGTCAGTCTTCTCCCAGACCTCCTTATACTATAACAACCCTCCCCCAGTTTATCTCCCATGGAAGTTTGACAAGTTTTAATTGCCAGCCATACTTGTCTGAGGACGCAGGGCTGCCCAAAATGTCCCCACCAGCTCCTTCTCTAATTATAAACTTCCTGCTTGAGTAATCACATGACTTATTGTTTCCTAATTACCATTTTTACAATAAATTAAACACCACACCACAGGGAGACAGACGCAGAGCAGTCCATCAATACTGAGGCATACACACACGCCAGGAAAACACACCTCCACCACCAGCCGTTCTCTCACTGTTCACCTCTCTCTTTGACCCATACCTTTTCCCAACATGTGCACAGTAATTGTTATCAGCAGTGTTTGTTCATTAGTTCTCCTCTTTGTAACATTTGAATATGTGTCACACTGTGGGGAGCATTGTGTAGATCTGTGATAATTGCTGTAAATTCATGTTAAATAATACCTACAACCACAACAACAACAGCCTGGGCAGCTCAAGGTTTTTCTTTTGAATTTACAGTTTTATACTAGAATGTCTCATCCAGCTGAGCATTGGAGAGTGGGTTTCCTGCAAAAGGTGAAAAACATCATTATTCTCACACCAGGGCTTCACAGCACATCAAAAATCTGTTAAAAAACAACAACATTTCCCTGCAAACACTAATCAAACTCAACAGGCAGACAAAAAGGCAAAGGAAAAAAAAAACTCCTCGGCCCGAAGTTAAGCGTAAAGTATTTCACTTCAGTGTGAGAAAATGTTCTGAACAGCAACTGAACAGAGCAAGGGCCGGTATTTAAGGCCCTCAAATCCAGATTAAACCCACTAATTTTTCTGTTTCATTGTACATGCAAAAATACTATTTCCACCTAGTGTCATCATCTTTTGTGTAACAACGACTGTATTACCATGGAGCATATGTTCTGATGTACCAGTTGCTTTAACAAGCGTTGAGATTGAGTGTGATGTGAATATGAATGGTGCAGCTGCTGAGCTATGTGCATTATGTGGAAACACAGTGGAAAAAGGATTTTGTGGTTCCTCCTGTAATGGGTCAATTTGAACAAATTTATGCAAAGAAGCTGATGGAAATGGCTGAAACCGTTTGCCGTGACAAATCCTATCTATTCAACGTTTGAACTGCAAATGTGTTCTTTCAGAAGACCTTTAATTTCCTTGTAAAGTGTGATAAGAAGACTGTAACTGATGAGGGAGCTTTTTACCTTCTGGATGTTGACAAAGGAATGCTCTAAGGTGTCATTGGACCAGTCCCATCCTGTCTTGGTGGGAGGGGGCACGGGGACAGACACACTTTTGTTCTGCATGATGTCTATTCCATAACTAAAGGCCTGGATGGCATTTCCTGCAGGGAAAAAAAAACACAAAAATAAAGTCATTTATTTTCGACCCAGCAAGAAGCCAGTCAGCAGACAGACAGCTCTCAGTCAACTCTCTGGTCGTCTGCCCACTTTCTGGAGATGAGGAAGTGAAAAAGAAACCAGAAGTTTTGAGAACTGATGGATTAAAAAAACAGAACAGAGAAAAGATCTTTTGAGTGATTGAGCGGATTGTTTACACTGGGTGATGCTCGGCCTATTAATTTCTGTAATGACTCTGAATAACTTTTCCTCTAGCCTGTGGGCAAAGTCAGCATTAGCCTTACCTGCAGGGACTGATGGGACAAGAGATGAAGAGGGAAAGAACGAAATGAACAGAGATAGAGAGAGGACTGTATCAAAGATCAGACCAGGGTTGTTGTTGAATTATTTTTTATTTAAAATTATTGCTAGTTTTGTGAAGTTGAATTCGGATTCGGTTCGGAGGATAAACACATCAAACTGACTGCTTCACTAATAGCCCCTGATTACGTCTTTTAACGCTGCACAAAACAAAACAGAGGCAGAGATTATTGCAGTTACTGGTAAGTTTGCTGGATGGAACTAGTCCATTACTGAATGTCTAGCTTTGGTCAGGTTAATCTCTTTATTTATTCCAGGTGAGATTTTCCAAACTGAGGAGATGAACTATAGTGAGGAAGATGTTTTGAGCAGGAACACTGATCAACTTTTCACCCTTTAAATGTGAATTAAAGTGAAGGAAAAGTGAAGGATCATTCCACAAGTTCACCATAAATTCCCAGAACAAAGTGCATTTGTCAGGTCTCTTCACCTTTGTCTGTTCCTTCAGGGTTAATTAGCTTCATCACTCTCACCTGTGTCCTGTGGTTCTCTGTTAATCAGTCTCAATGGTCTCACCTGGTGTCCTGGGTTTATAAACCTCTCTCCCTCACTCTGTGTTATTCAGTCATTGTTGTTTCTGTTCTGTGAAACTGTGTGATTATGGTTCTTGTTTTCCTTGTGGTTTTATTGTCACTGTTCCTGCCTGATCTGTGTTTCTTAGAGTTGAGACTAGATTATCTGATTGGTATTGAAGTATATTTGAGTTGATTTAATAAACTTCTTTGCACCTGATTGTTGTTCTCCTTAGTACAGCATTTGTAATGCCTGCTTTCTTGTTCTTCCACATGTGTAACATTTCCCAGTTTGGCTAAGTTCTTTGTGTTTGTTACCTGTCTGTCCTAGCCACAAGCACTACATGGGTGACTAGAGGACATGTTAACGCAAATCAGGATAGGGCAGGACTATAAGCTTATTTTACTTTCTTCATCGAAGCAGTATAGAAAATTTATTACAGCCTGTTGATATACTGGATGATATCCTCGCTGTTTTGTCTAAATTATGTGTGTATGCTGTACATTTCCTCTTACGGTGACTTTTTTTGAGACCGAAAAGAATATCAATGACAGGATCATTGACTAGACGATGTTAAGTTTCTTTATATTAGCAATAAATAAATCTGAAGTTGTGCAACCCTTACTGTGATGTGGAAAGTATTAATCAAACACAGATTCCCAAAGTGTGATGTGCATCCTGTACGAGCTGCCACTAGGGGGTGCACAAGACAAAAAAATGTGATGGCGGTTAGGAGTGCTTTTTTTGTTTGTTTGTTTGAGCTTTTACTGTGTTGTATGAAGTTCAAACATTGTTCCATTTCAGTATAATTCAACTTCAAAAGTGCATTGTTGTTAATGTTCTGGTCATTTGACCATGACTAAACATGCTGCCTTTGTAAGACAGCTCATTGTGTTTTTTTTTTATTGTTATTGTTATGTTTGTTTGGTCAAGGGGTGCATGTCCAAAAAGTTTGGACTCAACAGCAATCTCATTATTATACAGGCTGAGATCGACCAGTCAGTATTGCCACAGTGAATAGACAAGTTGTGTTGCATTTCTTCCCCAAACATCAAACAAACTCTTCTGAGAAATACTAGGAATAAAGTGTACTGTCCTGCATTAGTTTTTGTTTTTATAGCTGAAAATGCAACACTAAACTCAGTTACATGATTCGTTTCTCAAAGCTGCTTTTCAGAAATGCAGAAGCTGCGGGTTTTGGAAGATATTCTCTCAAAACACTGTTCTGGAATCTGTGAGATTTTTTTTTTAATATTATTCTTAGATTTTAAAGGATTTAACGTCAAGGAAGTGAAGCAACAGTGGGAGCTGCTTTAAATCAGTTCATAACTTGTTTGTGGGCCATCATTTGATTCATTGAACATTTATTATTTTTTATACACCTGCTGCTTTCAAGAATGGAAACTGCAGGCATTTGCACTTGCTGTGAGTAAGACATAAGAAAAATAATACAAGTAAATAAAAAAAAATATTCTCCAGTGAAGTCTTGTTTTCTTGGCCTGGAATTGGTTGCTGTGTAAAGTGAAAACTATAGTGTTTAAGGAAAGGTATTTTAACATTGAAGTCAAACGACAGACTCTAAAGTAAAATTTAAAACAAGTTATCAAATATATTATCAGCTAGAACAGACTTGGGTAAACTACGGCCTGTGGGACAGATGCGGCCCGCTGGGTTTTCTAATCCGCCAAACATTGGTACAAAGTATTGTAAAGACTGATGTCAATCCCTCTGTTTCATGCATTACAACAGATCGACTATATCGTCTGTTGATGCCATTAAAAAGTGGCAAACATAAATTGTGCTAATATATCTGTGAAAGTTTATTATTGTACATTTTATTCAAATTATTCCATCCAGCACTCTACATCGATGTTTGATATTAACGTTTTGCCGATATTGTCCAAACACTTAATTTCTGATTCCAATATTAACCGATACCAATATAGCGGGGCAGTGGTGGTCTGGTAGTTAAGGAAGTTAAGTGCTGCCTGCTTATTTGGATGATGGGTTAAAGCCATGCCCACCCCCTAGGGGACAGAAGTTTTTTCACCCCCGCAAAATTTCCCATCGCTCTTTTTTTTCACTACTTGTACTGCGAACATTCAGGACACCCGCCGAACGCTTTTGGGTATCAGGAACCTACACCAGATACCTGTTTCGTGTGACTTCCACCACAGACACAACATTCCAGCCGCGGCGCAGACGGAGGAGGAAGCAGAAGAAGGGCTGCAGGTCCGGTGTCATGCTAAGGCTAAGGAAACAACCACACAAGCCACCTCTACTGAGCCTGTTTCTCTCCAATGCCAGATCACTGTTGCATAAAACGGACGATCTGGAATTAAAACTCACTGGTAACCGCTGTGTTTGTGACTGCTGTGTGCCGATTATCACCTGGCTTCACCCGAACATACCCAATGCTAGCCTGCAGCTAGCAGGCTGCACTCTGCTCCACTGGGACAAGACAGAACTCTGGTAAGTAGTGATGTGTCGTTCGCGAGTGATTCGTTCAAAATGAACGAATCTTTCATATGAGTCGTGACTCCCGAATCATATGAAAGATTCGTGACTACCGAGTCATATTAAATATTTATTCATATTGAACTCACGAATCACTCAAAAATCACTCACTGCGAACTAATCACACTCTGAGAACAAATCACTCTCTGCTAACTAATCTTTCACTGTGAACTAATCTTTCACTACGACCTAATTACTATGCAAACCAACATTTCACTACGGTCTAATTACTCTGCAAACTAATCTTTCACTGTGAACGAATCTTTCATTACGATCTAATGACTATGCAAACCAATATTTCACTGCGATCTAATTACTCTGCAAACTAATCTTTCACTGTGAACGAATCTTTCATTACGATCTAATGACTATGCAAACCAATATTTCACTACGATCTAATTACTCTGCAAACTAATCTTTCACTACGATCTAATTACTCTGCAAACTAATCTTTCACTACGATCTAATTACTCTGCAAACCAATCTTTCACTGTGAACTAATCTATCCTTGCAAACGAATTACTCTCTGCAAACTGATCTTTCACTGTGAACTAATCTATCATTGCAAACGAATTACTCTCTGCAAACTGATCTTTCACTGTGAACTAATCTATCATTGCAAACAAATTACTCTCTGCAAACTAATCTTTCACTACGACCTAATTACTATGCAAACCAATATTTCACTGCGATCTAATTACTCTGCAAACCAATCTTTCACTGTGAACTAATCTTTCATTACGATCTAATGACTATGCAAACCAATATTTCACTGCGATCTAATTACTCTGCAAACCAATCTTTCACTGTGAACTAATCTTTCACCACGACCTAATTACTATGCAAACCAACATTTCACTACGGTCTAATTACTCTGCAAACTAATCTTTCACTGTGAACTAATCTTTCATTACGATCTAATTACTATGCAAACCAATATTTCACTACGATCTAATTACTCTGCAAACCAATCTTTCACTGTGAACTAATCTATCATTGCAAACGAATTACTCTCTGCAAACTAATCTTTCACTGTGAACTAATCTTTCA